GAGAATTGGCCATCTCCAAAGACATTGTCCAGGGGACACCCAGATGTTTTGATGTTTTACCATCTCTTATGTCCCTGAATGGGAAGCTGGAACTGACAGTGGGAGCTCATCCGTGCTCTCCCCAGATTCGAACCTGTGACCTGTTGGTCCTACCAGCACAAGGGTTTAACCCACTGCGCTACTGGGGGCTCCTAGATAGGCCGGCAAAACACCTGCAATTTGTTCAAAAAATACTGCCACAAATCAGATGAGAAATACTATTTAGAAAACTCTGGAAACAATCATTATATGGATCTACTCATCACACTAGAGAACAAAATCAACTTCAAATCTTGTTTCTGCCTCTTGCAGAATTCTGGGGTTTTAGTTTAGGGATGAGCCTTTAATAGCCTCGCTAAACTACAAACCCCAGAATTCTGCAGGAGGCAGCAACTGAATTTTAAGTGGAGTCATTCTCTAGTGTGATGAAGTGGTTCATTAAAAATGAGTGAACACAGGGTGGCAGTTCCAAATAAAAAGGATTAGTGTCGAAGCGCACAAAACAATCTCTCCTGATATTTAGGGTCCAGACATAATGACTACTGGAAGAGATCATTTTACAAGAGGCATGTGCATTTGTAAAAAAGGTGCCAGTATTTACTGGCAAACTTGAGCGAAAACTATTGTCAGCAAAACCAGGAGACAGAATATACTAACCAATGAGAATTAAGTATATGAACTGATTACATAGGACTAGGTTGGTTGTAGATTTTTTGAACAACTGAGAAAAACTTAGGTTCTTGTGGGTTTTTTCGAGCTATAGAGCCATGTTCTAGAGGCATTTCTCCTGACGTTTCGCCTGCATCTATGGCAAGCATCCTCAGAGGTAGTGAGGTCTGTTGGAATTAGGAAAATGGGTTTATATATCTGTGGAAGCTGGGGTGGGGCAAAGGACTCTTGTCTGCTGGAGTTAGGTGTGAATGTTTAGCTGATCACCTTCATTAGCATTTGAAGGCCTGCCTGAGCCTGGGAAAATCTGTTGCTGGGAGGTGTTAATCTGTGCCTGGTTTTTTCCTCTCTGTTGTTTAGCTGTTATAATTTTAGAGTTTTTTAATACTGGTAGCCAGATTTTGTTCATTTTCATGGTCTCTTCCTTTCTGTTGAAATTGTCCACATGCTTGTGGATTTCAATGGCTTCTCTGTGTAGTCTGACATGGTGGTTGTTGGTGTGGTCCAGCATTTCTGTGTTCTCAAATAATATGCTGTGTCCAGGCTGGTTCATCAGGTGCTCTGCTATGGCTGACTTCTCTGGTTGAAGTAGTCTGCAGTGCCTTTCATGTTCCTTGATGCGTGTTTGGACAATGCTGCGTTTGGTGGTCCCTGTGTAGACTTGTCCACAGCTGCATGGTATACGGTAGACTCCTGCAGAGGTGAGAGGATCCCTCTTGTCCTTTGCTGAACGTAGCATTTGTTGGATTTTCTTGGTGTGTTTGTAGATTGTTTGTATGTTGTGTTTCCTCATCAGCTTCCCTATGCGTCAGTGGTTCCCTTGATGTATGGCAGGAACACTTTTCCTCTGGGTGAATCTTCATCTTTACTCTCGTGGCTTGTTCTTGGTCTTGCAGCTCTTCTGATGTCTGAGGTGGAGTCTCCATTGGCCTGGAGAGCCCAGTTAACTTAATTTGAGCACACCAACTGTTGGTGCATCATATAACCTAAAATGTTATCACGTTGGGAAATGTCACAGTAAGTAAATGTATACTGAATGTGGGGAGCAGCCACTTTGTGCAATAAGTAAGACCTAAAATTCAAAGAAACCATAGATACTGCTGGTCTTTAGTTATTTAATAGAAGCCAGAAATAAAAAGAAAGAAATCCTGGAAGCATAGATTCTGGCAGCAGGGACAGGGTTGTGTCTGTATCGTTACTTAATAGGTGCTTTCCAGCTCTAAAATCAGCTGTTTCTGAAGTCACTGCATCTCATTTAAACTCACAGTGTGTAGTTGCTGGCATTAAGTCATTATTAGCTAGTGAAGGATGAAAAACAGCTCCAGTCCTGCGGTGAGTCACCGCAGAGGCTCCAGTACATCCTGATCTGATAAACAGAAAATTCAAAAACACAATGCTGGTGACCTTATTTAACCCAACCCCAGAAGATTTCGGGAGAATGCCCTCCTGAAATCCTCTGTGTCAGACACAAATGTTTACTTTTCAGCACAAGCATCTAATGTGATGCCCAGGAAAAAAATTTTCTGTGATCTAACCGGAAGACAGACTTGTTGCTGTGTCTGGCAAAGGGGGGGGGGGGGGGGGGCAGCACAACACATGTGATCTGCAGAAGAAGCTCTCATTTGAAATACACAAGCCCTGTTTCAACATTACRACTCTTTTTTATTTACACCAACAAACGAGGGAGGGTAATGGTGCTATAATACAAGAAGAACWGAAAAGTAAGCATTCCTGATGCATTGGGATGCCAGTTCTGCAGGATGGCAGTCCTGGTTTTATCCCATTTGTAGTGAATGGGCTGACAGGTTGCCTTGTACCCTCTTTGACATCCGGAGTAGAGATACCACCTTGAGGTTAAGAATGCACAGATTTATTTTTATTTATACCATGGTCATGCCAGCTTCATGTGGTTTCTGTGGCTTTGTAAGTCTGTCCAGTCATTTTGTGCAAATTTTAATGCATGGCTAGTCCAATTTAAATTATACACATTTCCTATCAAGATTCCTGTATCTTTTTTCTTTTAATCATTACATGTCACGATTAAAAGGCCACAGATTGTGGAGGCCTGAATCAGTGCCACATTCAAGCATTTGCAGAACCCATCCTTCTTTCATCAGCTGTGCCTCATGCTTGTCTTTTAATCATTACATGTAAGCCCGCCCATTGTTACTGTGTTTGTGCAGATTGTAATTTTTATATATATATTGCTATGTATTCATATGTTTCATATATTCATATATTTATTTAACTATTATGCTATTGTCTATTGTGCGCGTTTTTGGTTGTGTTTTGATTTTTCTTTATTGTAATTGTCATTCGGGCTTGGCCTCATGTAAGCCGCTCCGAGTCCCCATCGGGGAGATCGTGGCGGAGTATAAATAAAGTTTATTATTATTATATACTTCCTCCCTAAAGTGCACAAGACTGAATTCCAACATTCAGAAAAGTGCAAGGAGAGTGATATATATTATATATGTATGTATGTATATGTTTGTGTGTGTGTATACATACATACATACATACATACATACATATATCAATGAAAGGGAAAATTCTTCCTTCTCCTCTACCTTCAAACTGTACACTCAACTGTGACCTGCCTATCATTTTCCTTTTTGAGTTAGAATTTTAAAAATGTCATGTGAGATTGAAGTTAATGGCCTGAGTTCCTTCAAAGGGAGACTGGATAAAGCAAGACTAACAAGAAAGAGCCTAACTACAAACTCTGCTTAAAGACCTTATATATCTGATACTGGATATGAGATATTTTCAGAAAAAAATAGATTTGTAAAACTACAATTCACACATGTTGCCCTCTGAGTTCTAAGCCTATTTTTTTTTTAATGTCGGAGCACTCATGTACCCAGCTCATTCAACAGCCTACCTATTGGAAGGCTGTGAATGCTTTAGGTGGTGTTTCCTTGAGTTGTAAGTCCAGCAAAAGTATATTAAGCAGGAAGGGGTAACTCATTTTTAGATCATGAAATGCATGCAGGCATGTACAACCTGTGGTCTTCCAGGTGTTTGGGACTCCTTTTAGAATCCATAGATAGCTTTTCCAATGGTCAGGAATTCTGAGAGCTGAAGTCCAAAACACCTGGAAGGCCACAGGTTGTGCAGGCCTGAATCAGTGCCACATTCAAGCATTTGCAGAACCCATCCTTCCTTCATCAGCTGTGCCTCATCCAAGGCAGGCAGAGCCAAGTGATGGGTGAGCACATTCTCCACATTCTCTGACCCCTTCAGTCTTGCATAAACTAGCATGTCTATTTAAAATGAACCAAACAAACATGTAGTGAGATTTATAAATCTAGCTGTCATTAATGTATGAAATAGAACTGAATTTAGAGACGGAGGCCCAAAATAGTAGATAGCCTGCAAGCATGTTTTTCCAAGCATCGATCTGACAATCAGTAAAGAAAGCCTATCAGAACTAATCCATGTTGATTCAGTCCATCCAACATATGTATGATGTTTAGAGTTCAAACTTCTGTGATGGAAATTTCACACAGAGCATCCAGTTTAGGCCTGGGTTTTAGGAATCAAAGGCACAGTATCCTTTTTACTTGTGTTATTCCTAATCTATCTGGATTAAGGGATGGCCCCTGCTTTGAGTATATCCATCCCAAGTCAGCTATCCTGTCTGGGGACCTTTCCATAGAACATATCCCAGAATATCAATGCAAAAATTCCACATTATCTAAGTTTGGACTCAGATAACCCAGTTCAAAGCAGATATTACGGGATTTTCTGGGATATAGGGCTAAGTGGAAGGGCCCTAGCATTGACTGCTGTCTTTTTATCACTTAATGAAGAATTAAACTCTGTTTTTAAATAAGAGATGTAGGGTTAACTGAACCTTCTGCAGTAAACACAATGTTAACAGGTGTGCAAGCTTTCTGAACAACTCTACTTGAACATAAAACAAATAAATACATTTAACAGTTCGTTAAATCTGCCCGCTTAGCCATAGTAATTCACACACAAAAATACCTTTCAACAATATGTGAACTAGAATTCCTTAATGGAACAATTTCCATTGAATAGTATGTTCTAGTAATAAAATAAGGTTTAAGAGATTTTCCTCTTGGCAGCATCTCTTTGAGCAAAACAGAAATGAAGCCTGTAACTGATAAAAAAAAATCCCATATGTGTGCAATATAAAGGCATAAGAGAAGACATTATTACTGGGATTTTATTTTATGCCATACGTGTTATAATAGAGAATGTGAACAACATGCTCAACAAATTCATAATCTGGACTTTATTCAGAACAGATCTTTTGAATTTACCTTGGGGATTCCTGAGCAGTCAAGCCACTTCTGGAAAATGTTTTCTACTGATAGGCCATACCTTTCAAGAAAATGAAAAAACAACATTGTTCATGAAATATGCACAAAAGTTATGCTTAAAAACAAAAACCAGAAAATTTTGTCGGAAATCATCTTTGTAATCTAAACAGCGATTTGTCGAAAGGCATTCTCATTTTGTCCTTTCTAATTAATATCATTGGAGATGATGACACCTGAAAATTAAAGACAGATTGGATTCTGCATGTAAAAAACTAGTGATGAATTCAATGCTTATAGAAGCTGACAACATAACGCTTACAAAGTTCAGGTGCACTGATGAAACATATGTAAAGAATGAACAGGTGTTCTGCAGTTCTTGTTGTGTGGCGTCTCCTCTTCAGTTTGCGAGAGGAATGGAAAGAGGGAGGGAGGCTTCATTTCACTGGAAATTATCTAAATAGAGAGCCAAAAGCTGCCCTAGCTGGCATGAACATAGTATCCACTGAAATTTGTATGCTGGGCTCTGAAAAAAAGCTCCTTTTTACAAAGTGTTTTATACTTGCACTGTGCTACTTTTCCTCCTCATTCCCTGGGATTTTTTTTAGCAGCATTAGAATTGGATACACAGTGTTCCCTCACTTATCACAAGTGTTATGTTCCAGGACAACCCACAATAAGTTAAATTCTGCGAAGTAGGGATGCTATATGTAGAGTATATGTACAGTATACAATATACATGTGTCACCCTCTCCAATGCCAGAAATACAGCTTACAAAATGTTGACCATTTCCGCTACCTTAGCAGCCACTTCTCCACCAAAGTCAACATTGACACCGGAATTCAACACTGCCTGAGGTATGCGAGTGCAGCATTTTTTCAAATGAAGCAGAGAGTGTTTGAGGACTGGGACAACTGTAGGGATACCAAGGTGTTTGTTTATAAAGCTATTGTCCTCCCAACCCTGCTATATGCCTGCGAGACGTGGACTATCTACAGACGTCACATGCAATTCCTGGAACTATTCCATCAGTGCTGCCTCCAGAAAATCCTGCAAATCTCTTGGGAAGACAAGTGGACAAATGTCAGCATTCTGGAAGAAGCAAAGACCACCAGCATTGAAGCAATGCTCCTCCGCCATCAACTCCATTGGACCGGCCACATTGTCTGCATGCCTGATCACCGTTTCCCAAAGCAGTTGCTCTACTCTGAACTCAAGAATGGAAAACAGAATGCTGGTGGGCAGGAAAAGAGGTTTAAAGATGGGCTCATCGTGAACCTTAAAAACTCTGGCTTAGACACTGAGAACTGGGAAGCCCTGGTCCTTGAGTGCTCCAGCTGGAGGTCAGCTGTGACCAGCAGTGCTGTAGAATTTGAAGAGGCATGAAGGAGGGTGAAAGAGAGAAACGTGCCAAGAGGAAGGTGCATCAAGCCAACCCTGACCGGGACCGCCTTCCACCTGGAAACCAATGCCCACACTGCAGGAGAAGATGCAGATCAAGAATAGGGCTCCACAGTCACCTATGGACCTGAAGGCTGCCAAGGTGGGCGCTTGGCTAATCTCTCCGGGTAGCGAATTCCAAAGTCGAAGGGCCATCACGGAGAAGGCTCTCTCCCTCATCCCAAGTCGCGCTTGCGACAGAGGGGGAAGGGAGAGGAGGGCCTCCCCAGAGGATCGGAGGGAAATACGATCATGAAGGTAGGCTACAATCTGTAGGCATTAGGCTTGTGCACGGATTCATTTTGGATGTTTGCCTTCAGCTTGTTCAGAAGCCTGTAAAGAACCGTGGCTGTTGAAAATTGGCTGCTTTAGGTTTCTTTCGCTTACACGTGGAGTGTGGGGAGGGAGGCAGCCACTAGAAGGAAAAGGATCCTGGGAAGCAAGTTTCTTAAGTCCTCCCATCTCTCTTGATTTGGAAGAAGAAAGGAGACTGAAGCGCGAGAGGGTAAGATGCCAGTTCTCCTTCCTGGGGCCTCCAAATTAAGAGAGAAGGGAGGGCTCAAGAAAGCCTATTTCCATTCTTTCCATTTTATGACTCCCAAATTTTCTGTTGAATAAATAAGATCTAAAAGGACCTGACCGACCTAAATTTCACATTCCCTCTATCCTGCTCTACTTATGCTTCTTTGTATCCAAATCAATATATTTAGATGACTGTGTTCCTTAATTTACTTCATTTACTGCTACAGTCTCCAATTTCATTTCCCTATTACTCTCACCACTTCAGTAGGAAATTGGTGTTACACCTCCAAAAGCAAGAAATGACCTATTAGTTACATACCTTTTCCTTAACTTTACCAGCTAAAAAGAATGGTGGGAGAAGATATTATGAAAGTGCTTGGGGGAAAAAAAAAACAGCCTAAAATGGGGTTGGCTGCTACATCTGCATACATACAATGGGGATAGCTCAATAGAACAACAATTAGGATGTCTTGTGGTCCTAAAAAATTACATCTACCTATAGTTTATGTATATTGTCTTTGCCCCTGTCCACCCCAGTCTGATAAAAAGAATTTCATGGGAGTTCAATACACTTGTGATGGCACAGAAAAGCAGAGATGAAACCTGAGAAGAATAATTGACAGTGAGGTTTGATGCATCACGGACGTCTGCTGCATATTGTCCACAGTAAATAATATATACCAATTCTCCCAGCTTTTAAAGTACTTTTTTAATAAAGTATTTTAGTACCTATAAGTATGGATAAATATCCACATAAATCCATTATTCTTGAGAAGGGAACGGCATAGTTCTGCATTACGGAGATTTTTTTTGTTAACCGTGTTTTAAAGGTTGTGCATTTCAATAATGTAAGACACGTTAAGGCTTTCTAAAATAAAAAGTCATCATATGTATGTGTGCGTGTGTATGTGTGTCTATATATAGAGTGATTATATAAGTATATTTGTCTGTTTGAACCACAAAGGCTGTTAGGTTAAGTGGCCCTCTATGATATAACTGGATTGGCTGTTGCTAGGTGAAGTGACCCTCTATGGCATCACTGGACTGGCTGTTGCTGGGTGAAATGACTCTCTGTGATGTTAACAGGAAAGAAAAGTGACGTGTATGAAGGGAAGGGAGGAAGGAGGGAAGGAGCCACAAAGAGAGCCAAGTTGCAATGGAGACATTGAGAGGTAGGCCCTCCCAGAGCTGGAGATGAGAGAAAGTAGGGAGGCAGTGGTCCCAATGACAGCAGGGCAACGCCAGGTATATATGCTTGTAAATTAAAAAAAATTAAGGAAACATGTGATTTCAATTACAAGTTAATCAACTCTAGGAATTACAAGTCAATCAACTCTAGGAATAAGCAATTTCATCAGTTTATTGATCTCTGAAACTACTAAAGAAGTGGCAGTAAACAGTAAATAGACAGAAAAGGCTTTGGGAGACAACAAAGCGTTTCGTCACAAAACCACATCTTAGAACCTATTGATCTACTAAACAGGCAACACTCTGATTTTAACATAAACAGCAGTCAGGTGTGGGGAAGTTTATAGACAAAATTTACCCGTCCCTGTTTAATTCTTTATACAGCAACTAAATGTAGATTAAGGGATACATTGCATTCTAATATTAAAGTGCACAACTAGAAAGGTTAATGTGTGCACAGGCCTGCATAAGCAAAGTATAGGGAAAATGAAGAAACGAGACACTTATGAAAGCAACTAGGACAATTGGATGCTGTTTCTTTTCTCTCCAGATTTTTCAGCACACAAAATACCTTGACTCCTCATAAATATTTAGATAGGAAGCCAAGCTAAAAGTAAAAAAAGGCACTTCCTGGAATGTAAAAAGAGCTGGTTTTAAAATTTGTTTACAAACTCAGCACTTTCTCACATGATTATATAGCCTAATGCAACAAAAAAGCATACAACTTTGCAGAGATATTTTAAACAAAAAATGCATTTCTGTACAGGAGCCTATCGCCAAAGCATTGGGTGTGTGTGTGTAAAACTGAGACCACTTCATTACAACATGCACCACTGCAACTTGTATAAAGATAGTCCAATCGTTCTGAACAAAAAAAGTAATAAATTACTAGATAAAGTAAACATCCACTTATACAAATAAATTCACTCTGAAGCCAAACCAATGTTTTTGACACACAAATACTAAATCCGGAGTACAGTGTCTAGAGAGCATACCTTAAGGAGAAAAAACTAAATATTTGCATATCCAAAAATAAGCTAGCTTTATAAAGCATATACTGGAAATACAATCCTGTGAATGAGACTAAAACTGTTGGATACTCTTATAATACTATAGTTGCAAGCAATCTGGGTGAAAGGATGGTACTGAAACAATCTCAAAATTAGGATTGTGCATTTTGGCTGAATCTCAATACATTTCTGCTGGCCGAATTCTAGTAGACCCCCATTGTTGTATCTCAGCAGGAGTTCACCTTGCACAAACCACTCACCAGGAAACCAGACATGGTAATAAAGTGAATTAATAAAATACATAGAAGAAAGGGCCAAAGGCACATAAAGCAAATAATAGAGTAAAAATCCAAGTGTGCGTATAGAAAGCAAGTGCCATAAGCAAAAGGTAAATCCAAAAACAAGAGTTAAAACTTGAGCATTAATCCAGAGAACAAGAGCATGGATCCATTGATAAATCCTTAACGCAGGAAGCAAAACTTGACTAGGAATCTTGGGCCTTGAACTTAGAGCATGTTTCTATACTGGAGTTTCCCACTCCAGTAGCGACTTTGCTTGATCTGAAATCCTAACAGCCCTCTCTCTCATTTAAGGGCTGCAAAACATGAACACATTCTTTTGACCTTGAGGGGCCCACTTCTGCCTCTCCTTCCCACAGCTTTGCTTGCACCTGAAATTCTTCCCCCACAGGAGCAGCCTGGTATCTCTGTCTAAACCAGCTGCTTCTTCGGGTGAGCTCATGTTATCCTCCCTTCCCTGCCTGTCGCCTTCCAAAGCAGTTCATTCCAACACTCAGAAACAACATATTTCTCCAAAACCAGTAAGCATAAATCTTCACCTTGCAACAATGCAAAAATAGCTAAATTCTGGGATATGTTGACATACGATTTCAGTTGAGAAGGGAACCCTTGCTCTATGAAAGAGACAATAAACTAAACAGAACTGCTGAGTATGCACATTACGAATATATAAAACAAACAAATGGAAGACACCAGATAAGAGAAGCTCAGCATAAAATCCAAACATACACATAAACTACTTTACTTCCAAAACTAAAGTTGAAATTAAGTTTTCCCTAATATGGCACTCTTTGCTTTGGACTGCAAATCCCATCATTCCTAATCATTGGCCATCTGGCTAGGACTAATGGGAGATATAGTCCAAAACATTTGGACAGGCCCATGTAGAGGAAAACTGGAATATACTTCATCTCAAATATGAGAACTTCCAGAAGAGAACACTCCTTGCCTCTGATTAAATTATTTCATTTTGTATTTCCAAGTGATGCATAAGAATGTGCTATCAGTTGTTATTAATAGATAGTTATTACCATATTTTAGATGGAAAATTCTTAATATCTAAGTCTCAAGGAACTGCAGAGTATGGTATTATTTATATATTTGTGAACTTGATCAAATTTGAAAAAACCCAAAACAGAAACATCTACTGATCAGTCCAGATGTGTCCTGAGTAAACATAGTGGCTGAGATCTACAAAAATGGTTTGAGCACATGTGAATGTTTCATATCAGTCCAAGAAATTATTATGTTGTTGCTACTCTTGTTATTTATTTTTTCCCTTGAAAAACTCTCCATCATATCTCACAAACTATCTTTGAAATTACTTTTGGTTTCAAGAGGAGCTTGCAGGTAGAAAGCATGATTTTTTAAGGAGGAAAAAGGGAAAGTCCCTTTTGGCTCACACTGTATGGTTCTTTCGGCCCTGGTCAATATGTTTAAATGTGTTATTGAATTCAAATAATTATGGTCTTTGAACACTACTAGCAGACCACATTTTAAAAGAACAAAATATAATTCTTCTCCCATATTTCAATGCTAACAAATGAAATGCATTTATTAATTGGCAGAAAAATATGGTTCTTACAAGCACAGGGGAAGATGAAAGCATGTTTTATATAAACGTGACATTATTATTCTTGGCACACCTATTTATCTTTTCATCATTCATAATACCGGCAGAATACTAGGTACCTAGTTGTAAAGTGGATTATTATAAAAATACATTCTTGTCCACAGTTTCTGAACAGCAAAGCTAGAATAAACAACATTTGCTATATTCTTATTGAAAATTAAAATATTCCTTCAACATTCTTGCACTCTTAGTTATAGTCTAGATATGAAACTAGGAATCCAGAAGGGAAATGAAGTTCCAAAAGCAAATTTCACCAAAGTGAAATCTTGAATCCTTGCCCTCAAACTAAAGTCTCACTATCAATATTATTCAATCAATTATTTAAAAAGTCATTTTAACATAAAAACTAACCACTGGAGGTGTCTATAATGTTCAGTCAAGCATCTTAGCAGTAGAATATATAGCATGAGTATATTTTTGTTGTGGTTTTTGTGTAATGTCATTTCCAACTTAGACATCTTAAGGCAGGCCCGTAGCCAGGATTATATTGGGGGGGGTGAGTTTGGTTTGGGGGGGGGGCTGAGTCTGAGTGAAAGAGGGTCTAGCCTAGCAAACCTTTTGTATCGTTACCCCAATACCCCCATGCATATGGGATATATTGAGCATGGTGATCAGATCATGATATGAATAAACATAACAGTTTAAATAATGTACCAGTAAGGCCTTCTCGTGGACCACCATGAGAATTTCGGGGGGGGGATGACTGAAGCCCCCCAAGCCCCCCCTCCTGGCTACATGCCTGTCTTAAGGCAAATCTACCTTAGGGTTCTATTGCCAAAACTTGGTGAGAGAGGGGGTTTGCCTTTGCCTTCTTTCTGGGAGTTTGATTTGCCCAAAATCAAACCCATGTCTCCAGAGATCCGATTCACATAAAAACTACACTACGCTGGCCAGTCGTGTCCAACTCTGGGGTGTAGTGCTCATCTCCATTTCTAAGCCGAAGAGCCAGCGTTGTCCGTAGACATCTCCAAGGTCATGTGGCCGGCATGACTGCATGGAGTGCCGTTACCTTCCCGCCGGAGCGGTACCTATTGATCTACTCACATTTGCATGTTTTCGAACTGCTAGGTTGGCAGAAGCTGGGGCTGACAACAAGAACTCACACCACTCCGCTGATTCGGATCTGTGACCTTTTGGTCAACAAGCTCAGCAGCTCAGCACTTTAACCCACTGCGCTACCGGGGGCTCCTTAGTGTTTCTATACTAAACTGTTATAATATAGTAGAATCTCGCTTATCCAACTTTTGCTCATCCAACATTCTGTATTATCCAACGCAGTCTACCTCTTGCCCAGATCCACAGCTGTTTCAATACATGGCGGTGTTTTGCTGCTAAATTCGTGAAGACAGTAATTACTACATACCATTACCACATACTGAACTGCTTTTTCAGTCAATTTGTTGTAAAATATGATGTTTTGATGCTTAATTTGTAAAATCATAACATAATTTGACGTTTAATAGGCTTTTCCTTAATCCCTCCATATCCAACATTTTCACTTATCCAACATTCTTCCAGTCCATTTATGTTGGATAAGCAAGACTCTACTGTAGATTAATACCGTTTTATCATCTAATAGAATAACTTTAACTGCCATGGTTTAGTGCTATGAAATCATGAAAGTTGTAGTTTTACAAGGCTTCTCTGCCAGAGAGAACTGGTGCTTCACCAAACTAGGAGCTGCAGTGGTCCAATGGGTTAAACCCTTGTGCTGGCTGAACTGCTGACCTGAAGGTCGCCAGTATGAATCTATGAGATGGGGTAAGCTTTCATCTGTCAGTTCCAGTTTCCCATGTGGTGAGAAGAAGCCTCCCACAGGATAATAACACATCCAGGCATCCCCTGGGAAACGTCTCTGCAGACGGCCAATTGTCTCGCACCAGAAGCGGCTTACAATTTCTCAAGTTGCTTCTGACATGATAAAAAAAAGTCAAACTACAAATCCCAGGATTCCTTAGGATTGAGCCATGGCAATTAAAGTGGTCTCAAACGGCATTCATTTAACTTCATTACATTTCATTTCCAGCAGAAAATATTCTGTGCTCTCATTGTGTGCTATAAATGCCCTCTTAAATTCCATTCAGCTGAATGGTGTTTAGCCAGATAAAAATGTGGAAGATTGAGGCTCCAATGTTTTATTATATGTGGGTGCACTATGGCCCTTTAAAAAAGCTCACAGATGGAAAGAGTCTTGTTAATATTATCTCAAAGAAATTATCACAAACATTTTACATTTGTTTATTGTTCATGATGTTTCTGTATTTATTTGTATAAATTGATGAAGATTTTAAATGCAAGTTTTAATCTATATTTGAATCTTAATAAATAGATTAAAGTCTCAAGAGTTTCTTGATTTCCTGAACATGGTGCCAAATATGTTCTTTATCTTTATTAGACGGATCCTCACCTACCCTTTTAGCTGTGGGATGTCCTCTAGTAATAAGTGAAGAAAGTCCTGCAAAACAAAAGAAAAATAACTACAATGTAACCTAGTAAATCAGCAATATATATTGTTTAGCTTTTGATCCCCCATTGGCACAGTGGGTTAAACCACTGGGTTGCTGAACTTGCTGACTGAAAGGTTGGTGGTTCGAATCTGGGGAGTAGGGTAAGCTCCTGCTGTTAGCCCCAGCTTCTGCCAACCTAGCAGTTCGAAAACATGCAAATGTGAGTAGATCAATAGGTATCACTTTGGCGGGAAGGAAACGGTGCTCCATGTTTCCTTCCCGCTAAAGCCACATGACCTAGGAGCCACATTACCTCCATGGCCACATGACCTAGGAGGCGTCTACTGACAACACTAGATCTTCATCTTAGAAATGGAAAGCACCACCTCCCAGATTGGACACGACTAGACTTAATGTCAAGGGGAAACCTTTACCTTTACTTTAGCTTCGGATAGCATGGAGACGGGGTAACACTCCTGTGGTGTTTGTTTTGCTGTCTTTGCCCTGCTCTGAAGATTTCAGCTTACTTTCTTCCCCAGTGATAATTGGTTTTTTAAAAAATTGGATTGTTGTGGAAACAAGGAGTGGTGATAAAGCTCCAGTGGAGACACCTTTTCCCCCATGATAACCCTTTACGGACAGAATTTCCCTTTCATGGGATAGATTTATCCCACTTCCTGTATTTTCACCCCTGTTCATAACTAGGAGTCATTTGTAAATCGGATGTGTGTAACTCTGGGACTGCCTGTACACAACAATATTTTGAAATAGTTTACTTGATTTTTCATGATAAGTTACAAAGTAGGAATGTCATTGATAAGCTTACATTCAAGAAATAATATCTGGGAAATTTATGATCAATTAACATCAGAGTGTAATCAAGAGGGCATGCGTTATTTATGAAAAATGAACTGCTGGTAGAGTCACAGTTTGTCTTTCCCTGATTCTGTGGCCAAATTCCACCATCATGTCTCCATTCTCTCCTGCTTAGTTAACTGAACACTAAACTATTTTTGTATTTTGATCTCTGTTTGCAAAGTCTCAAATAAGATGAGGACAAAAGGGAAAATGAAAAAAGACAAGAGAAACTGGGACATTTTAAAAGCAGATGAAAAAGTAAGACTGTACAAGATTAATCAGAACTTTCTCTGCAAAATCAGGACAGTTGCAAGGTTTGATATCTTGCCATCCCGAAATTACAGAACATTATTATTCTGCCTAAACCCCGTATCAACAGAGGCTACTTTCCTGGACCTTGTGTGGATATGTGAAACTAGAGATAGTAATGAATTCTCTTTTGATCCAAGAAAATCATAGAGTCATACTGGAGGACCTAGAAAATGCAGAGAGAGGGTGTATTTTGTCAGATATGAATAAATGAAATCACAGATACTAGTCCCATGAATGCATGGGGTTGTACTATATCAAAATACAGTTACAACTAAAGGATTAAAAAGACTGGATAAAGCCACAAAAGACTTAGGCCTCTTCCACACAGCTGTATAAAATCCACATTGAACTGGATTATATGGCCGTGTTGACTCAGATAATCCAGTTCAAAGAAGATATTGTGGATTATCTGCCTTGGTATTCTGGGTTATATGACTGTGTGGAAGGGCCAAAAGCACATGCTTATCTTCATAAATTCTTTTATCAACAGTCAGAAGTGAGACTTTATCTACATTTCAAATAGTTTTGCCTTTACAATAGGTTTGATATAGTGAGAGTCATGGTTAGCAGATATTCCCCCACCAAAATCACATAAGAGACCCAAGGCAAGGAGCAGGAAAAGCTAGTCAGGGAATCTCAGTCTAGAGAAAGGTAGGGACATAAATCCAACATATCAAATCAAATTGAAATGCCAAAAAACCCAGTGATGACAATGTATACTCAGTAGCTACAGAATATTGACTTATTTGATGGGCAATTTGCGAAAAGATGGAATAGAAGGGTATCTTCAAGGAGGTATAGATAGCTGGTTCTAACCCTGAAAAGGAGCATTTCGCTCTGTAAGGTTTTATATACCTGCCGAAAGTCAGTATGCTAAAGTATACAGATAGAAGAACAATACCAAAGTTATGAGTGTGAAATACCTGTATTGCACTAGCCAGAATGAAGGGAAATAACCTGGCAAACCTAATTCCCATTCCATTTTATTAGGAAGCTATTTTCCCACTGTGTACCCAACTGTTCTGTATAATTATTTTACAGTGCTGTAACTGTATTTCTTAACATTACAATAGCAAAAGGTCTGCCACTGCATTATTTTGCCAAAATGCTTGGTCCGGGGTGTGCTTATATATTGTGAATGGGTGCAGATAAAGGATGGTTATGTTTTCAGTGCAATACAGTCCCCAAATATGGTGGGCCACTTTCCCCAAAGGAATGAGTGGCTGTTTCACATCAAAGGGATGAAATAAAGGGGTACATTAAGATATGAATCAACATGGCATAATGATTTGAGTGTTGGATGTTGACTCCTGAGACATGTAGAGTCTGTTGGGTGGCCTTGGGCAAGTCACACTCCCTCAAACATTAGAAGAAGGCAATGGCAAACCCTGTAGCAGGGTTGTCATAAGTTGGAAATGACTTGAATGTGCACATACAACAACACATTAAGACGTAAAAGGTAAACTTGTTCCTTAAGTCTGGCAAACCTAATCATTAAGAGCCAAACCTTCTCTGATCTCAGGGGTGAAGTAGTGCAGCTTTTAGGTTATGTGTGGTTCCCTGCCTTTTTTTATAGATTCCAAGCCCTTAGAACAACGATTTCTTAAAATCTGGGGGTCAAGAAAATCCTCAGATATTAAGTTGCTGTGCTTTGCTCTGCAAATAGAAATTTGGAATTGGCTTACAGCTGAAATGTAATCATATTCATTTTATTACTGAATTTCTAATTTAAAAAGTCCGACAGGACTGATTATTAGGGCGGATTTCATACTGCCAAAATTAATCTCAGTAATGCTGTTCCAAATGTTGCAAGCATCCTCTTTCCCCCATTTAGCTGAGGTGAAATTTTCCCTCACCATTTTTTATACCCCAGACCAAGTCCTAGAATAAACCTTCCTGTTGGCAGACACATGAATAATCTCTACACTGGAATACAGTAAAGGTCTGGGTTGTTGTGTGTTTTCCGGGATGTATAGGCATGTTCCAGAGGCATTCTCTCCTGACATTTCACCTGCATCTATGGCAGGCATCCTTAGAGGTTTTGAGACCTCACAACCTCTGAGGATGCCTGCCATAGATGCAGGTGAAACGTCAGAAGAAAATTCTCCTGGAACATGGTCATACAGCCCAGAAAACACACAACAACCCAGTGATTCCAGCCATGAAAGCCTTCAACAGTAAAGATCAATCCAAGCCACCCACATAATATTAATCCCGTGTTGTCAAAATGGCGTGCAAAAGTAATAATATAATGAAGTAAATTCTTCTGCCTGGTGAATTTTTGAATCATGTGAAAAAAAATCCCTCCATTCTGCAGGTGTTTTTGATTTCAGTGAAATGGACCGAAATTTACTACCTATACCAGAGGTCCTCAAACTTTTTAAACAGAGGGCCARGTCACAATCCCTCAAACTGTTGGAAGACAGGATTATAATTTAAAAAAAAACATGAATTAATTCTTATGCACATTGCACATATCTTATTTGTAGTGCAAAAACACTTAAAAACAATACAATTATTAAAATGAAGAACAATTTTAACAAATATAAACTTATTAGTATTTCAATGGGAAGTGTGGRCCTGCTTTTGGCTGATAAGATAGGATTGTTGTTGTTGTTGTTGTTGTTGTTGTTGTTGTTGTTGTTGTGTGCTTTCAAGTCGTTTCAGTCTTAGGTTGACCCTGAGCGAGGGCTGGGTAAATRACCTTAGTTTGAGGACCCCTGACCTATACTTTCAACAAATATATATGTATTGGGTTTATGTRCCTGGTYGCTCATTGCAGAACCAGTCTAGAGCAGAACTTCCCCAGAGGTGGCTACACAATCCCTTTGCCAACCCACCACATATTGTGTAGCCACCTTGGACTACTTTAGCCCAGCTGGACTGTCACCATTGTCTTCAGTGGGCAATTTGGGATTTTCATTTCATTTTATTTGTTGAATTGATACCATGCCTTTTTCCTAGACTGGGCGTCAATGGGGCTAGAGTGGGATTCAAGGCTTTCTTCGTTTCTTTGCTTAGGGTTTTTTATGTGATTTTGGCGGAGGAGGGAGCTTCTGGAAACCTTGACAATCCCCGTCCTTCTTGCTGGTCATGTGGCTGCTTCTGCTGATGCCAGTAAGGGGTGCTCTCAATCGCCAGGGAGCTCACAAAAATCTCCGCAGCTCTCAGGCAGTGACAACATGAGTTCAACCCATTCTCTTTTCCCTAATGAGTGCACAGAAATGGGAATGGTGCCCCATGTGGACAGTGGATCAGTCCACATGGGACTTGGCCCTGCTGTCCACACTGTGCCTAAACCATAGGGTACTTCGGAGTTTCAGTCAAACTTCGGAGTATCTCCCAGCTTATTTTACTGTGGGGTCAAACCAGGTTGAACTAGTTTCCCCCAAAATAAATAAGTTCTGGAAATTTATGGGGACATCCAGGAATGGCTATAGGGTGAATGGGGTAATTAAGCCCATGCAGACGAGCCCAATTTTACTATATCACAATTATGAAAATTGGATTCTTAGCAAATAGTTTACATGAAAATGAAGATAAGCAAAAATGAAACTATTCATTAAAATATTTTGGTATCTTTGTTAGGAGCACTGAACTAATTACACGATATCAAAAATCCCAGTGTCAACAAGTGACTCACTATTACAGCTATTTACTCATTTAAGCAGATGTTACAAAAAAGAAAATTAGAATCTGCAAAGTATTTGATCCCCAAGGTATTCATTTTTCATCACCAAACTAAACATCAGCCTTTAAATGCTCTAGTGGAATCAGCAACTCATACTCATTTCTATTTATTTATAGTTACCAACACTCCATTCATTACACAAATTTC